ATCTTTCGCTACAAAATTCGTTACATCAACCAACCCACAAAACACATCGCTGCCATACAAAAGTGAAATAGATAGTTAGACTGCATGATATGCGACATAATGACAAATGAACAACCACATGACTAACTGCATAAGAGAGGGGCAACACAAACGCACCATAGGACTAGGGCAGATGTAGTACGCACAACCTGAGTTTTTGGCAGATCTGAAAATCTTGACAACACAATGTCCAAAGCCACATGCATACATCCTTGGTGGCCATGACGAAGTGGCAGTTGACATGGATGACGCCATCTCTATAATTTTTTTTTGTTGAAGGGTTATCAATCTATTTTAAGCTGCAAAATAGAATCTACGGTAGGGTCGTGGGTGTTTTGTCATTGCTTTGCTTATTTTATTTTATTTCTGACATTCACGTTCGTTAGTTGCATTCCTTGTGTTTCTTGGGTTTTATAAGTTATACCAACAATTTGATTGTGTTGTCCCGGGTACCCAAAAAAAAAAAAAATACCAAACCAAAAAAAATAACAATACAAGGAAAAATAGAAGCCCTTTTCTTTTGGATTTCCTATTGTTTTTAGATCAGCTCTTTTAGTTTTAGATGTAATATTTTTTTGCCCATCACCTTGACTACCAAATACACAACTGTTCCATGTGTAGTTCTGTTTCTTGGTTCCCAATGTAGTCCCAATTTATCTATCAGCAAACATTGCTAAAAAACTTCAAGTAGATGGTAGTTTTTACTCCCATTTGGATCTAAGAAAAGTAGTGTATTGTTCTTAAACTTGGGTCCAACATCCTAAGACTATTGTACATTCCTCACTTGGGGATTTAGAGTTGCAAAGGATGGAGGAGAGTAGTTCTGTTGGTAAAGACTGCAACAATTCCCATATTTGCTGTAGACATTGATGGCCACATAAATGGTTGGAATGCTAAGGTTGCAGAGTTGACAGGATTATCGGTTGCGGAAGCTATGGGAAAATCTTTGGTTCATGATCTTATTTTTAAGGAATCAGAACAAACCGTTGACAAGTAATTATTTGATAGGTAGTCTTCTTAACTGTAATGTTTATTAATTCTGCTAAATCTAGATATCTATTACTGTCAAGGTTTTAAAAAGCGGCCGCAATTGTTACGTAACGCCGTTACGTAACGGTTTTGGTGGTTACCGCCACCCGTTACGGCTGCTTTTTCAGTTTGATTGAGATTCACAGGTGTGCCAGCTGTAGCGGCTATCGTAGCGGTCATAACGGCCTGTTACGCATCGTTACGTAACGGTTCCGAACTGTTTCTTTTAAAAAAACACACAAAAAAAAGCTAAAAATGGTGGAAGAGGGATAGAGAGAAGAGGGAAGATAAAGAGAGAAGATGAAGGAGCAAGAGATAGAGAGAGAAGAGGGAAGATGAAGAACATGTTATTGATTTGTTGAAACTGTAAGACCTATGCTATTCTATTCCGCTGCTATCACTCAACCATTTTGTTTGTGTGTGTCTATCTATATATTGTTTGATAATAATAATAATAATAAATGTGGTCATTATCTATTTGGCTTGGTTAAAATATGTATATATATATTTAGGCTTTTATTTATTCTCTTACTTTTGTCATTGTTTATTTTATATATAATAGTTAGTGATGGATTTTTTGTATAATATAAAGTCATTAATTATTAAAATAAAATGTAAAAAACTCAGTTTATAGTGATTTAAAAATATAAAATATATTGGATCATACTTAAAAATTTACAAAAATTGATCAATATTTATTTTAAACCCAATAAATATGATCATGGAAAAAAAATATGCGTATCGGTAAGTTTTTTTAAAATTGTGCTAAAAATAAAAAAATTCATAGTTCCGGTTATCGCAACCGTTATGCTACGGTTTTTACACCCCGTAACCATAACCGTGCCACCGCCACCGTTACGGCGACTGCAACCGCTTTTCAGAACCTTGATTACTGTGGTCTTTTCATACCCCTAGGAAATGCAATATCCTATTTTTTTAAACTCTGAAACGCATAAATCTCTTTATGATAGGATAGCATGAAGAATTAGAGAAATAACATAAATTCCTTTATTTGTTATCATATATGTATCGCAAAATACATTATACAGAAGATATGTATTGAGAACAGTACCAATTTACCAATACATATATTGAATCATAAGATACGTGATTCATAAGTTACTAACACTGTTTGAAATTGGTCAGATAAATTTCCATTTGCCTTTTTCGACTGAAATGGAAAATATGTGCAAGGTCTATTGACAACAACTAAGAGGGTTAGTATGGATGGCCAGATTATTGGAGCCTTATGTTTCTTGCAAATTCCCAGCCCGGAATTGCAGCAGGCCCTGGAAGTCGATAGACTACAAGAGAATAAATGCTTTGCAAGGATGAAGAGTTGGCTTACATTTGCTAGGAAATTTTGTTTCCATTAAGTGGTATACACTTTACGAATTTGCTTTTGGAGGCTACGGACTTGACCGAAGATCATAAACAGTTTCTTTAGACAAGAGAGAAATGAAATTTGGAGAACTTTTCATCTCAATTATGATTAATTTTAACAATAGAAAGAAGATGACACAAATTTAATCTAATGTCAACCTTCTTGACATATTCTCCCTTTTACTTTAATTTATGGAATAAGAAAAGGAAGGTTTTGGTCAGTGTGAAAGAGCATCGCCAATAAATATTGCATTGTGAAATTAAACTAAAAAGCAAGTTTAACATAAAAACAAAAGGAAAAGAAAAAGAAAAATAAGTAACAATCCTATATTAATACTGTGCCAAAGCAAAATTAAACATAAAAGACAGGACTCTACCCCTTGTCAAGGAAATCATAGTAAAACCCAAAACACAAATCACATATACAAGTGCATATTTAAATATTCTTGTATATGTACTTTCAACCTTTCATAAAAACATAGGAAAAGCAAACAAAATAATAATAATAATAATAATAATAATAATAATAATAATAATAATAACACCCATCACGCATAAGGTATCATATATCACTCTGGAAAGTAAATAAAGATCTATTTATGCTATTTGTGGGTCACAGATGTTAAAAATTAAATGGGATGTCAATTTGGGTAGAATTGAAAATGGTTGAGTTTCTCTAAATTTGTTGTGCTCAATAATAGATAAAGAGTCGAGATACATAAATATAAGTACCTCCATAACTATGAAACAATCCATGAAAACCCTGTAACAACTAGATTAATCATGAAAAAATTTCAGTAAACAAACAAGAACCCTACATGGGGTGTAGGGATAACCTCTAAAAAATTTCAGTAAACAAACAAGAACCCTACATGGGGTGTAGGGATAACCTCTAACAATCAAGCTTTTTTAAACCAGTGTACATTTTTATAACACAAGTAGCCATCCTCTGTTTTCGGAAATATTTTTTTTCTGTAGTAAACGATAGATAGCCCCCAATAGCAGTGGCGAGAGAAGGAAATAGCAGAAAATAGATGGATTTGTTGTTTTGTGTTCACAGAACACCAAAGACCAAAGTCGAAAATACAACATGAAAGAAGGCAGGATCTCACAAGTGGAAGCCAATATCGTCAAGTATTACAGCATACAAGTGTTATACAACACCAGATGTGCAACATTTTGATCCAATTTTTTATGAAAATGGTTTTGAAACAGCTGTAACCAAATAACAAGGGAGGAGGGTTCCCTGCTTACCTGATGTTGCAGATCCAACAATGACGAGGAAATGGACGAGGACTCCGGAGGCAGCATCGATGGCCGACGGTTTCATCGTGGGTTGTTGGAGGGAGTTCCAAAAGAGCAGTAAGAGAAAGAGGAAGTGAGAGCAGTGGCAAGAAGGAGGAAATGAGCCAAGTGTTTTGCCCTAGCCCTCAAAATGTAAACATGGAGGGTAGTTACGTAATTTCACAACCTGCGTTTTTATCACTTCCCAAAGGGAGCTTCTATCTACACACACCAAATACCCTCTTTGCACACACTTAATAATATTTAATTTTATTACAATTGTATCCCTAAGTGAAATTACTATTTTAGACACCATTGTTAATTCAAAACATCTCAATGCACACCTCCCTCTAGAGTTCACATTTGTTGCATTGTGTTTGTAGCTTCATTGAGCTAGAAGTGAAAGCAGAGTCATTCATAGCTTCTTCCAAGTTCATTGAGCTAGAAGTGAAACCAAAGGGCTTTGGCATTTCCGTATTGCACATGCACTGTAGTTTCTCAATGCACTCATTCATCAACCTTCGTCATTCGTAGGGAAAACATCATTGTTATGGAGGATTTGCCTTCTGAAAATCAGCAAATAAGTGTTCATGTGAAACAGAGCGAAGGAAATGTGAGTTTAATTTTTTTTTTCCCAGCGTCGTTCGGATAACCAGGGCCGAATTGTGTTATTTGGTTCGGAAATATACTACCGAAATAATTATTTATTTTCGAAAGTTGTTGTCCGAACAAAATAATAAATTTCGGAAGTTGTTGTCCGAACAAGGTATTTAAATTCGAAAGTTGTTGTTCGAACAAAGTTAACTTTTACAACATTCAACTTCCGAAATTTGAAAATAAATTCGGACAACTACTTCCGAATGAAGTAAATTTTTTTTTTCCCATTTTATATTCCAAATTTGCAAACTGCATACCAAATTTACAGTTTCAAATTGCAAATTAATCTTTATAATGCCATTAAAAATTTGTAATGTTATACAAAACATGCAGGAATATGTGTCAACTCAAGGAAGTCAGGTTTGCGCGGATTTTGTGTTAGATTACACCACTCAATTCACACCTGAACAGGTTCACTCTACGAAATTATAACGATAATGTTTCGAATTGCTCACCAAATGTAAATGTTTGATAATATTTATTTAACTTTGTAGGTATTCAAAAGTAAGGATGAATTGCTCAACTGGGTACGTGAAGTTGGAAAGAGAAATGGTTTGGTCATTGTAATCAAAACATCAGACTATGGTGGAGGGAAAAAAAGACCCAGGATGTATCTTGCTTGTGAGAGGAGTGGCCAATATAGAGCAACAAAGAAGTTAAAACATGATGGCAACAATACATCAAGAATAACCGGTACGAAGAAGTGTGGTTGTCCTTTTGATATGAGGGCTCACAGGTTTACCACACATGATGAATGGACATTGACTGTAGTATGCGGATTGCATAATCATCCACCTGCGGAGCACCTCGAGGGACATTCATATGCGGGGAGGCTATCAAATGATGAGAAAGCATTGTTAATGGATATGTCAAAAAGCATGGTTCGGCCAAAAGAAATCCTAGTAACCTTGAAACAACGAGATGCCCTCAATGTAAGCACACTTAAAACCATTTACAATGTACGCCATCGAAACAGGGTGGTACAGAGAGCTGGAAGATCACAGATACAACACTTATTGGGTGAATTGGCCAAGTATAATTACATTGAGCGCCATCGGTTTGAAGAGTCCACGATGACTATGACAGACTTGTTTTGGGCACATCCTACCAGTTTGGACTTATTTTAGTCTTTCCCACGTATATTAATTATGGATTGCACATATAAAACCAACAGCTATCGGCTTCCTCTTCTTGAAATTGTGGGAGTGACATCAACTGAAATGACATTCTTTATAGCTTTCGCATACTTACAGTATGAGAGGGTCGATAACTATGCGTGGGTGTTAGCTACATTGCGTGATGTCATGGATGGGTTTGTTGTGCCAACAGTTATTGTTACTGACAGAGAGCTAGCCTTGATGAATGCCATGCAGAAGATATTCCCGAGTGCCAGACATTTATTATGTCGTTGGCATATCAGTAAGAATGTGTTGACCAAATGTAAGAAAATGTTTGAGACACGGCAGAAATGGAAGAAGTTCAACCATGAGTGGAACTCTGTAGTGTATTCATCTTCTGAAATTCAATACGATGAGCGTCTTAAATCATTACTTAAGGAATTCAGTAGTTATCCTGATGCAGTCAAATACGTCATGGATACTTGGTTGGTTTCTTACAAGGACAAATTTGTGGCGGCATGGACAGACACGTGTATGCATTGTGGCAATGTTACAACGAACTGGTAAGATTACTTTTCTTCAATATGTTATTAATAAGTGCCATGTACTTGATTTTAACTTGACTTACATTGAATTGAACAGGGCTGAGAGTGCACATGCAAAACTTAAAAGACAATTGGGTTCATGTCAAGTCTTATTTCAGGCATCATTTGAGAAAATACACAGTCTGCTTGAATTGCAACACATTGATATCAAGGCTTCATTTGAGAAAAGTCTAACTGTTGTGCAATATCAATTTAAACCTTCTCAATTCAGGGAGCTACGGGGTAATGTGTCTATCTCTGCGTTGGAGTATTTGCTTGTAGAGAGTAAGAGAGCCAATTCCATTGGTATTGATGTTGAAGCTTGTGGATGCGTCCTTCGCCACACTCATGGTTTACCTTGCGCCCATGAGATTGCTGACTATTGAAACTCCGTAGTATTGATGGATTAGTCGGTCCACCTGGAAAAGCATGAGTAAGGTACTCTTCCTGGACAGGAGGAGAATCAGGTAAAGAGGTATCCTCCACAGCAATTTCAGGCATATCATAACCTTCAACTCGTCTTTGGCTTCGGCTCCGACTTTGACTGGCACTGGGAATATCATATTCTACCGAAACTGGATCACGACCTCGACCACGACCTTGACCTCGTCCTCGCCCACGCCCTCGTCCCCGTTCATGGTCTACATCCAATTCACGACGTTGACTATTTGAAGCAGTAGGTGGGACACGTTGTTGATATTCAGAATCCATATTATCTGCAAAAAATAATAAGTGTGTGTAATGAGTGTGTGTGTAAATAAAGATAGTGTGTGTAAATAAAGAGAGTGTGTGTAAAATTAATGAGAGTGTGTGTAAAATTATAGTAAGTGTGTGTAAATTATAATGAGTGTTTTAATAAAGTGTTTTAATTAAGAAGGGGAAAAAAAAAAAAAAAAACCTGTTCGGAAGTTCACAACCGAAAATACATATTCTGTTCGGAAGTTGAAATCCGAAACAAAAACATAATTTCGAAGGTTGAGTGTTGTCCAAATTCAATTTTTTCGGAAGTTGACTATCGAAACAATGTAACATTTTCGGAAATCTACTGATGAAATTATTGATTATTTTCGGATTCCTACGTCCGAACACATTGTTATATTTCGGTTAACCAGTTCTGAACAACGGTTCCAAATCAAAAACTCTACATTCCAAGTGAAAAACTCTACATTACAGATGAAAATGAGGATTGAATAGGAATGATGATTCAAAAGTAAACTCACCTAATGAGGATTGAAAATCTGATGGAATGCTTCAATGGGATGTAGCTTCGTGGATGAAATGCTTCAATGTATTTGCACACCTGGGTTGCACACGGTAATAAGATGGAATGCTTCAATGTATTTGCACACGGTTGAAGATGTGCTTCAGTTTGAATAGGTGCTTCAGCTTGTATGTGATGGAATGCTTCAAGGTTGAAGATATGCTTCAGATTCAATAGGTGTGTGTATTTGGGGTCGGGTGTGTGTGTGTGTATGTGTGTATGAGGGTACATTTGGAACTCACCGTGTGTGTACTGAGGAAACTAATTAGGAATTAATTTTTTTGGTGTGTGTAGTGAGAAGGATGTGCAAAGAGGGGATTGGGTGTGTGTATATAGAAGCTCCCCTTCCCAAATGGTTGTTGTTTATTTTTGCTGCTATTGGCGTTTTTATGAAGCTGCAAAACGCAACTTTTTACTTTGATCCCAAATGGCCACTATGTTATATAACATACTTCAGCACACAAATTTAACCGTCCCTTTAGGGATGCTCTTACCTCCCATTCCCAACAGAGACCATCACCCACATCCACCTTCCCTATTCCACTCCCAACCGCCACCACCATCACCACCAAACCTTCAACACCAATTCTTTGCTCATTTTCACTTGTGTTTTCTCAAACACCTGGTAAGCATTAAAAAATAAACCCAGTGATAACTGATCAAACATCTACCAATGAGACTTGATCAAACAAATACAAATTCTACATCTCTCAGCCATTTCATCAAACACAAATTTTGCATATCTCAAATCAACTATAACCATCATAAAAAGTTTTTTAAAAAAAAAGGGTAGTGAAAAAGGGTAAAGATGAGAAAGGGGAGAAGAAGTGAGATAGAGGAAGCAAATGCAGTAGTGGCATTGTTGGAGGTCTAGGCAATAGTGGTGGCACTGTTGGTGGCTTTATGCAGTACTGATGGCGGTGATGTTGATGGCTGTTGGCAACGGTCAACCTCAAATGATGGGAACAACAAAAAATTAAATCGAATGAAGCTTGTGATAGAGGTGAAAAGGACTGGTGAAGCATGTAGGCATGCAGTAGAGGTGAGATACAGGAGAGAATGTAAATAGGCTGTTGGTAGGTGGTGTCTGATGGTGGCAAAGATGGAAGAGGAGAATTGGTGGGGGGATCGCGACGGTGTGTGAGGTGGCAAAGATGGAAGGGGTAGAAGCAGTGTGTGATAGTGGTAGAGATGGGGAGGAAGGGATGGGGGTTGCAGCGGTGTGCAATAGAGGGGGAAGAATACCCCATGCAATGTTGTGTGATAGAGTGAAAAGAATAGGTAGGGGCCACAACACTATGGTAGGAGAAAGTATTGTATGTCACAGGTGCACTAGCACGGCGCAATACCTTCTAGGTGAAAAACACAGGCTAGGTGATGAAAAAAGAAAAAGAAAAAGAAAAAGAAAAAAGTATATGTTTGAAGCAAATTAATTTATTTTCCCTTAAATAAGTGAAGCTCAGTTATCTGTCTAATGGATTTAGCTTGGCATGAATTTTCCAAAACAAATCTTGCCAAACCACTACTACAAAGTGGAAGCATGGATAACAATTGGGATTTGATGGCCAAAGATTTTGTATTCCCAAATCCCTTCTCTCTATCCCAAAACATTTACCCAGACCTGTCTGACCTACTGTTAGCCGGCTAAAACTTCACTACTCGGGTAAGGACAGGTGGCACATCATAGCCCTCACCAATATAAGTGACTGGACACATCTTGACCAACTCATCCCAACAGAGTTCTCCTCGGTGCAAAATCCTGATATAAATACAAAGAATTTTTTTGGGCATTTCAGAGGAGCCCAAAGGCATTCTCTATGAAATTCAATGTTCATGTCTTTATCCTAAAGGCTATAAAACTATCTTTGAGAAGCATTAAGCAGTCAAACCGTCAACTCTAATATCAAAATATAATTCAACAGCTGTCAAGTATTATATGAGAATTCCGAAACTTTGTTTCTTGCAACTCCACGAACGGAAAACTTCGAAAAAAAATTCCAAGCATGGCCTTTGTCTCTCGAAACAAGATGGGTGTTTTACATTTTTTTATGGAACAAAAGCAGCCAAGAAAGTAATTTTAAAGCACCAATAGACAAAGAAAGAGAGCAAGAAATAACAAAGCCTTAAATTATTCTCATTTATTTATAGCAGCATAATCACAGTAACACAAGGAAACCTATAACTGGTCAATGTCAACATCTGTGTGGTACAGTTGACAAACAAGTTTAACAATTAAAAGGAGGGTACAACAAGCCAGTTTGAACTTCAGGAAACTATGGATAGATGTTTCAAAATGTATAATCACATTTATTTATCAAAAAAAAAAAAAAACGTTATAAACACATAACTTAATTTTATTGTATTGTTATTCAAATGTACAGACAAAGCTTGGTGGCATTACAATCTGCTAGCGACAGCTCTGCATCAGATCTGCTTCACCGGTTTTACCTTGAAAGTTCAATCTAACCCGACTCTTCTGATCTAAATATAGAAACAAAAGAAAGGAGGAAATTTTAGTACAAATCCAACAAAGCTTTGCACCAACTCTGTGAGGTCAAACTGAAATTTAACAAGAAAGAAAACTTGAACCAAGTATCACAATATTATGAGAATTCAAAGTATAGTTACACGAAGCGAGGGTAGGGCAGGGAGCGCCTATGTGAGTGTGTGTGCATTTTATATATTAAATATATAAATATGTTTTAACAAATTATTATTTTTAGTTGTAATATGTGTTAAAATATGAATTATTAGTAGAGATTGATATCAACTACAAATTGTCTTTGTTAAGGATAAATAAATATTATGTAAATAGAAAGTATTAGAATAAGGTGGAGGTTTGTTTGCATTGTTTTTTGGAGATTGTATGTTTGAGAAATTCTATCTTAGATGGGAGTGAGTTCCTCAGTAGGAGTGAATTTTTTACAGGTTTCTTACTTGGGAGTGCGAAATCACATTTTCGAGTAATAAATGTCACCTAAATACAGCTACTAAGGTTCAAAGCCACTAAACCACCACTGGCCTTGTTGGACCCTTGTGCATTGGAAACACCAACCACAGCAATTCATTAGAATCTATCTAAGAAATATGTCAGGTAGCAAGGCACCCTCAAGTAGAGCAACGCAATGGTGGTAAATGAATGCATAAACTCATCCCCCTTCCCTCCCAAAAATACAAAGAAAAAAAAGAAAAAAAGGAAAAAGAAAAAGACAAGAGAACAAAGCATATATCAAGAGGTACTTTTATACTAGTTTATTACCTCATGCCTCAACTGATGCGTCTGGCTGGTTTTCTGGCATGGCATCTTGGAAGGCAGGAAGCTCATTGTATGCATTGTTCAACCTAGAGAGAAGAGGGTACTGAGTCTGCAAGAACGACAAGAAACTTGTAATTAGAACTTTCTCTGAGCAATACCAGGTGCACAGAAAATACATAGCATCAATTCCACGTAACAAGCAGGAAGAAAACAGGCTGCAATTGCGGCCACAGGGGTGTGCACACATGTCACAGAGATGGAGAGAGATTTAACATTGCACAAAGAACTCCTAAGGTGTTGAGTTCAACTCAACTCACAAGTCTTTGCTCCGGGTCAGCTACATGGATCTATTTCCTCACAATGACAAAACTAAAGATGTTACAAGGAGATAGAAAAAATCTAGAAAGTCCAGAAGCACAACACATTCGTATTTGATTGCAACCACCACGTGATCAAGAAGATGATGATATATTAGATTTTCAAGTGTAATCTAGGTTATACTAGATTCTACACGAACCCATTCTATTGGATTTGAGACTACCAGAAACCACAATTCTTGCAAACAATGCACCAGCGTACATTGCATATATTTTAAAAAAGCTGACAGCAGAGAAAGTTAACACGATTAATGTGGATTTCCCCCCATCTCTTTTTCTCCTTTTCTTTAAGAAATGGGTATGGCAAAATTTAGACATGTAAATTACATAATTATTTGAAGCTGAAATATAAATTATTACAGATTCAATTGGCCATGAACTAAAAGAATGACGTACCATGTCAAGACTGAACAATTTGATTGCTCCAAGAATCTGAGGTGCTAGAAAACAATCCGCCTGCAAACAATAGCCAATATTATATTTCAGGAAGTACTATAGGAGTACAGAATAATTTTACATAAGCACTTGTTATGCCAGCTAATTAGAAGTGAAATTCCTATCTACGTGTAATCTAGGTAATATGGAAAAAATCGCCACAAGCATGAAAAGCAACAATTTCTCATGTCAAAACCTAATATCTGGATTCTGGTTCCTATTTATGTGTAATCTAGGTTATATGGAAAAAATTTCCACATGTATGAAAAGCAACAATTTTTCATGTCAGATTCTGGACCAATAGTCGGTACTCTTCCTGCTTGGAAACTACTGACCTATGGTTTTAGCGCATAATTGTGTTCAGATTGAAGCTCAAACAATTTCCTGGTTTTCAAATTGATAAATTATATATTGTGGTGGGTAGAAAGTCTATACGATGGATTAAAGAATCTATCAATGTCAAGCATTTGCTTTCATTTTGTGAGAAAATAAACTACATCAACAGAATATTGATCCCAGTAGAATTAGGAGAAGCACAAATTTGTAGATGTACATGTAAAACCTCTATTCGATAGAGTTGAGATTTTAAAATTTGAGATTGTTTTAGTGTGGTTTTTATCAACCCTTGCGATGGTGAAGCCCCCTCCCAACCCCAAAACAAACCTATTTCAGTCCAAAGTCCCTAGCTAGTCGAGTCCTAATAAACCGAAGTATGGCCTTCAATTCAAAGCCTTCAAATTTGTTTCTGTCTACAGATTTCAAGTGACTAGTTTCCAAGAATGTAGAAACCCAGCCCAGCACCTTGGAAACCAAGCCAATTTCAATCACTTGTTGACTACAACCTTAGAACTCTTCCACCCTTAGAACTCCAAATGTAAAAGCTTTCCTCAACCAAGGCCAGGCCACCACAAAAATAAGTGTAGCCTGTAGGCAACACTATCCTAAGTTCTGAAATGTCATACATCACAAGTTCAACACTTTGTTATACCATTTTAGGGTCTATCATGTACAATTTGGTACTTTGTCTATTCAGGGGTATTTTTTTATCAAACCCACGTTTGTTTAAAACTAATTTTCCAAAAGCAAGCACACACTTGTTTCCCAAACCTAGGTTGTTTTTGAAGTCACGTATTCAAAACACAATTTTGTGTGTGAAGTCTTGTTTCCAATACATGACTTCAGAAAAGAAAAAAAGAAAAAGAAAAAAAGTTACACGGACCTCAATGTAGTTTCTGAAATTACACTGACTCCCCTGTTAAGAGTTGTTGGCTGACCAAGATTAAAGGGAAATGTGAAATCAACCTTGTGCCCTTTAACAATAACAAAATTCCATCACAATATTTCTAACCAAACGAATCCTTTCTTTTAATATCTGTTACCAAACAAACACAAATTACAAAACCATCCATTTTGGTCTCTAACCAAACACTGTCACCACCCACAACCTCCCCTATTTCATTAGCCAAACAAAATCCAATGCCATCCCTCATCCCATTGTTCCCACCTATAACTCCACCTTCTCTACTCCACCCTCTCTGTCCCACTCATTCTCCCATTCTGTCTATTGATTGCATCACCTAAAACCCACAACACAGTTGGTGAATCAATTATAGGATTATGAGGCAACCACCATCACCGTAGCATACAAATCCAGCAAATTGAAATAAGGCTTTTAAGTTAGGGAAGGGTTTTACCCATGGAAGTCGTGCATTGATCACACGATCATGAAATCAATACACATATTAACTCTCCACTGTTTTTAAAATTGTATTTTCAAAAAACGTTTTTATCTTAAAGTCATGTTTTGAAAACATGATTTCAAAAACAAACTTGGTTTGGTATATAAGTTCAAAACGGCTTGAGTTTGGGAAATTTGTTTCAAAATGACGTGTGTTCGGTATAAAAAAAACTATCTATTCAGGTTACACAGCCAGCGTGGTCTCTTATTTTAAAATTTCATTAGGGCTTAGATATTCACACTTTGCAACGGAACCCCCCTAAACATACAGTATGCATATAGGCTTGAACACAGATAGCAGGGAGGGAAGAAACAAACCAGACAGACTTCATCTCCAGTGGCATATTTCCCAGCATAATCTTTTAATAGCTTCTCAAGAGCTGCAACGTGTGTACATAGAAATCAGCTCAAATTCAACACTCAATTTTCAAAGCAACCTTAATCATATCATAGCAAACTTGTTTTTGGTCACTGTTTGCCCAGAAATTACTCTAATGGAAAATTTCCCAACTCAAAAGTTAAAATAGGTTAGGATTTTTTCAGAGGAATTCTACAAAAAGAAACTCCTATTGGTGATAAATTTAAATCAGCAGTGATTTTTTTCCTAATGCTTAGTACAAGATCAAATTCTCACCTACCTTCATGGCAATTGAAACTTAAACCAATAGGGTGCCATGATGCACTTTCAATCCACTCCCCACATTCATGGAGATGATTACCAATTGAATATGCTAATCCTAATTATGTATGTTCAATCAGATAAATTGATGCATTCTTATTGAATGTGTCGATTAATCCTTTTAAAGCACCAGAACTTGTGTGCAAAGTCCTATATTTGATACACTACTAAGATCATTTGAATGGTTTGTAGATCCTCATGGCATAAAATATCTCAAATTTAACTTGCATTGCACATAAGTTGTCTGGCTTGAAAAAAAGGAAAAGGAAAAAAGGATAGAACATGTTTCCATTGGACTGAAAAATAAGTTGTATTAAAAAAGTTCCATCTTTTCAATGTAAGGCATACTAAAACAAGGTATATTAATGACATGCCCATTTTCATTTATTGGACTCCAACACTCATCTTTAGACACTTCCGACACGTGTCAAACACGTCTAGTTATTATTATTATTATTATTATTAACAACTAAAATTTAAACTCACACACGCCTTGGAAACTTGAGGGACACACAACATTACAAATTTGAACAAAATAAATTAGGAACTAATAATAATAAAAAAATGTAGATTTATACCCATTAATCAATTCTCATTTGAACTTTGGAAATGTGTGTTATGTTGTGTATTTTTATTAACTTTAACTGAAATATTTATATATATAACATATGATAAATACAAAAAATTATATTTTACTCATGTCCCCACGTAATGTCCCACATTTTTTTGGAAAACTGTTGTATCAGTGTGTCCGTGTCCATGCTTATTAGATTATAGGGTTTTTGGTAGAGGACAAAGTGAAGATTTGAATATATAACAAGATCATGTCTTCTACTTTTTATGTATTTATTTGATGATCCTAATCATGCTTTGGTTACTATTCTGTGTACCACTAATGCTTTGGCTTAGGTAAGATGGAAGGAAAAGGATAAAACACAAGACATGTTTTAAAAGTAAGCTAACATAAATGACTAGTAAATTAATTAAGTAATTGGCATGAGGAAAAAGGTTCCAGTCACTTCATAAAGTCTTCTTCTTAACAATGAATATGCTAATCCCAATTATGTATGTTCAGTTAGATAAATTGATGCATTCTTATTGAATGCGTCGATTAATCCTTTTAAAGCACAAGAACTTGTGTGCAAAGTCCTATATTTGATACGCTACTAAGATCATTTGAATGGTTTGTAGATCCTCATGGCATAAATTATAAAGTTGCCTCAAATTTAACTTGCATTGCACATAAGTTGTCTGGCTTGAAAAAAAGGACAAAAGAAAAAAGGATAGAACATGTTTCCATTGGACTGAAACATAGGTTGTATTAAAAAAGTTCCATCCTTTCAATGTAAGGCATGCTAAAACAAGGTATATTAATGACATGCCCATTTTCATTTGTTGGACTCCAACACTCGTCTTTAGACACTTCCGACACGTGTCCAACACGTCCAGTTATTATTATTATTATTATTATCAACTAAAATTTAAACTCAGACACGCTTTGGAAACTTGAGGGACACATAACATTACACATTTGAACAAAATAAATTAGGAACTAATAATTATAAGAAAACGTAAATTTATACTCATTTGAACTTTGGAAATGCGTGTTATGTTGTGTATTTTTATTAACTTTGACTGGAATATTTATATATATAACATATAATAAATATAAAAAAATATATATATATTTTACTCATGTCCCCATGTAATGTCCTGCATTTTTTTGGAAAATTGTTGTATCGGTGTGTCCGTGTCCATGCTTATTAGATTATAGGGTTTTTGGTAGAGGACAAAGTGAAGATTTGAATAGATAACAAGATCATATCTTCTACTTTTTATGTATTTATTTGATGATCCTAATCATGCTTTGGTTACTATTCTGTGTACCACTGATGCTTTGGCTTAGGTAAGATGGAAGGAAAAGGATAAAACACAAGACATGTTTTAAAAGCATGCTAACATCAATGACTAATAAATTAATTTGGTAATTGGCAGGAGGAAAAAGGTTCCTGTCACTTCATAAAGTCTTCTTCTTAACAATGATCCAGCTATTATTTGGTTGATACTAGCAAAACAATTAAAATACATTATTAAAACAAAATTATCATAAAGGAGTTTGGATCAAACTGTGATGTCCATGGGTTGCACACACTTGCTCTTTGATAGGAACAAGGAAACAAAGTATTGCTTGGATGATTGGAGGCAACAGGTTAAGAAGGTGAAACGTCAAGTAGTCAGCACTAGCAGGCTACACACAACCAACTTGTGTATTCAAACTGGTATGACAGATTTCTTTAAATGAAAAAATAAAATAAAAATCCATAATCTGTAGTTCATTAGGTAAAGCTTACCTGCAAAGCCTTTGCCAATATGATACTGAACCCAAACAAGCTTCTCATCAGGATGAACTTTTTCCCCAATATACTTCTGTACCTCATTTGAACTTTGGAAATGCGTGTTATGTTGTGTATTTTTATTAACTTTGACTGGAATATTTATATATATAACATATAATAAATATAAAAATATATATATATTTTACTCATGTCCCCATGTAATGTCCTGCATTTTTTTGGAAAATTGTTGTATCGGTGTGTCCGTGTCCATGCTTATTAGATTATAGGGTTTTTGGTAGAGGACAAAGTGAAGATTTGAATAGATAACAAGATCATATCTTCTACTTTTTATGTATTTATTTGATGATCCTAATCATGCTTTGGTTACTATTCTGTGTACCACTGATGCTTTGGCTTAGGTAAGATGGAAGGAAAAGGATAAAACACAAGAATGTTTTAAAAGCATGCTAACATCAATGACTAATAAATTAATTTGGTAATTGGCAAGAAGAAAAAGGTTCCAGTCACTTCATAAAGTCTTCTTCTTAACAATGATCCAGCTATTATTTGGTTGATACTAGCAAAACAATTAAAATACATTATTAAAACAAAATTATCATAAAGGAGTTTGGATCAAACTGTGACGTCCATTGGTTGCACACACTTGCTCTTTGATAGGAACAAGGAAACAAAGTATTGCTTGGATGATTGGAGGCAACAGGCTAAGAAGGTGAAACGTTGAGTAGTCTGCTCTAGTAGCTATGAAGCACGGGTATGGGTACGAGTACTGATTCTGGTATGATACGGGTACGTCGATATGCTAAAATCCAAAAAAAGTAGGATACGGGTACGGCTTGGTACACTTGTAAAAATTTATTTATTTTTAATTTAGAGTAATGTAAAAATTAATTAAATAGTTTAATTTGTTAAGATCCAACCTATAATTAACATTTAATGTCAAAAATAAAAGTATAAATCAAAATTAAATGCCAATAGATTAAATAACTTACAAACTATAATTTAATTTTAAATCATGCTAAGTATAAAACTAAAAATAAAAATAAAAATAAAAAGTTTAGGGAAAGGAGTTTTATTTCTGTAGTAGAAAAAAATATTGTTTCAACTAAGGTACAGTACGGCTTGAGTATATACTAGATACGTCTGGGTACGCCAAAAATTTAGAAGAAAAAATTTGAGTACGTTTTTCGTGTACTCGGTACGTATGCAGAAATACCATACGAGGTACCATATGCCGGTAAGTACCCGATATGGGTATGGCATGTGTATTCAAACTGGTATGACAGATTTCTTTAAATGAAAAAACAAAATAAAAATCCATAATCTGTAGTTCATTAGGTAAAGCTTACCTGCAAAGCCTTTCCCAATATGATACTGAACCCAAACAAGCTTCTCATCAGGATGAACTTTTTCCCCAATATACTTCTGTACATTAAAAGGCAGGGAAAAAGATGCCCATCACTATGCTAAAAAAAATGTTGTGATAGCATTATATGAATTTTAGCAATGAAACAGAAATTTTAAAGCAGTGATCCCACTCCAATACTCACTAGTACACTTGTATTCTGAAAAGGCTGTATGCTTGAGGAAACAATATTTGCAGCCTATAAATCAAATAATAAATACATTTGAGGATTAGTTTAAGTAATCAGAGCAGAACAGGATGGAAAAAAATATATATATATTGAGAAAGTAGAAGGAATGAATGAATAGTTCTGCTAGCCTAAAGTTTTATTACTTTAACAACATGTTATTCCCTTAAAGCCGGATAAAGCACTTCAACTAGAGCAAGGGTGTTCTAAGGATATCCTTTTCCATGTAAAATGACAGTTGCATGTACGTGTTGGACCCACTAAGGCCCATTTTCAGACTTTCAGTAGCATTGCTATAACTTATACTCCATCCTCCCAAGAATTCCCTTATCTTTCAATAAGTTCCTTAACTTATCTAAGAAATGAAAATACCATTGAAGGTGCATATCTTGATCACAAAAGATCACATATAGACCAACAAGTGGATTTGAGCACCAAACATCAAAGATGAGAGAGGTCAAACAGATACCACTAAGCTTAGATCACCGATTTTCTGTTGCTAAGCAGTCCAACGAATTCCTGTGTTCATTATTTTGTGATTGAGAACCATTTGATCTCATTGCACTCCTCACATGAATATAATCAAGTGGTTTGAAAGTTTAAATTTGACAATAGTCATATTGGTATGGTTGTTAGAATCGTACAATTCATGATTCGATACGATTCACAATTTGATTCGCAATTTGACAACAATGGGTAACCCATTCAAAAGAATACAGGCCAACTTGATAAGAGGAATGTCCTTGTGGAAAGTGACTACCATTGGTGATTAATTTGGCCAATAACTTCTCATAGTGTCTGTGGAGGCAACCACACCTATGCATGAGGTGTCAGATTCTGTCGAAGAAGAGATTTCTACCCTCTTTATGATTTACATAAAGAGAGGCTATTAGCATTTGAAGCAACTAACATGCATACATGCTGGTTAGCCCAATGCAACCAAATTTGCTAAAAAAGGAGTGGGCTTGTGAAGAGAACATTTGAACTTATGATGTGTATATGGCTCTTTAGGCATGTCATTGACCAATACCAAGATAGTAATCACCTCCATATGATTGACAAGACCTTCATCAAGCATTATAGCAACCCAACATTTGTAGGATATTTTAATTAAATTTTCCTGGTTTAAACAACTTCAACTGTGAGAGTAATAAGATGCATATAGTATAACTCCACAACAATATAATGTTAACTCTGTTGTCACATAATGAATTTTAAGCCAACTAGTGTTTCTTCACCAGGTCAGAATTTTTTAGCTTATTCCTCATAAAAATTGATTTGTTACTATATTCGATTTGAATAAAGTTTGCTAATACTAGTTGTAACTATATTTGGTTCAAATAAAGTGTGCTAATATTAGTGAGAACTTGTAGAAAATATGACGACGTAAAAATTATGCAAGCAGTGAAATTCTGGCCTTTCCAGAGCCTCACATGGATGCTTAGGTTCAAACACATTGAATCAAATAAATATCATACTGGTGAATGGAACAGAGCTCAAAAATGTTGTCGTAAATAATAAACACCTCATATCAATTGATCAAAAATATAAGAGATTACATGCATTATACCTGGTAGTTGATGCCTCTTCTTTGAAGATCATGAGGCAACAATGGATGTTGAGGATACTTCTCTTCCAAATACTACAAATTACTAAGCACATGTTAGAAACATTGAAAATTTTTACTAAAATCAAATCCAATGGGGGTGATGACAATAAAGGTCCAACCACTCACCATTAAGATTGCAAAAGAGTCAGAAAGCACAATGTCCTCATCCACCAACACCGGCACATAACCAACAGGATTGAGCTTCAAAAACTCTACATTGGAGAAAGGAACAAATGTTATGAAGCATATTACAGTATCTGTAACAAGTCTCAGTTATGATGGAACCCAAAATTTTGGCCTCCTAGTTTTATAATATGCATATGTATCTCAAGAATCAACGTCATTGAAAGCAATTTATGTATATATATATATATATATATAATATAAACTGCACTCACCTCCTTGAGGTTTGAGAAAAATACAGTTAGCCCCACACTTTTGACATAATTACACTGACTTCCCTTTTACTAAGGCTAAAATGACTGAAACTAACGCAGATGGTGGATAGACTTTGAAATAAACAAAGATAAACATACATTTTAGTTGAAAAGAGATAATAATATTATTTTTTTCATTCATAAAACTAATGATTTATTGATTAAAAAAAAAAAAACCTAGTTGTTGTGAATTAAAACCTCGACGGAGACCAGTGTAATTATGTCAAAAGTGTGCGACTACCTATATTTTTCCCAAATCTTATCCATTCATATGTATTCAGTGCTTTTGGTCTCCGTGTCAGACCATCTCCAACCCTTCACCAATTTTTTCATCGAATTGGATTCTAAATTTGAACAAAAAATTTGATTTAATATGAACTACTACAATCTTTTCATCAAAATCTTTATAAAATTCCCAAATTTCCCTTTTAATAGTAGCAGAACTGTTACAAAAGTACACCTACTACTAACAACAATCTATCTGTGTGTGAAAATGAGCAACCAGTAAAACACAACTCACCAGGACTCAACTGCTCTCCCTTGAGTAAATTAACTGCTTTGTATTCATAATCAAGACCTGTTTATAAACATGATGAACAAAAATCAACCACCAATTCATCAAAATTGGGTTTGAAAAAGAAATCAAATTTAGGGAGTTAGAGAGAGAGAGAGACCTTTCAAGTTAAGAGCAATACGAACACGTTGAGAGCAAGAGCTCCGAAAGTAAGAATACAATTGCAACTTCGTTTTGGGCTCCACAACAACACCACCACCACTCGCCTAATCATCGATTCAAAAATTCAACAATTCAGGGGTCAATTACTTGAATTGCTCCGAGAAAATGAGCAAGAAAAAAGATTTGTTTCTGCATAAATTATATAAACATAGAGAGAGAAAATGAGTGTAGAAATAGAAAGAGAAGAGAGAGAGAAATGCACACCATAACTAGCTTGAAAACTTCGATTGGATTGGAACTGAAAATTGACTCTGTTTTCAAATTAGTCCCTATTTATATTAGTGTACACATTATTTAATTACTTATTTTATTATTAGTATCATTTTTGGTCTATCAAATATGCCAATTATGATTTTGTAATTTTTTATTTTGATCAGTTTATGACTTAATTATAATTTAATATAATATTAATTATGATTTAGAGAAAATGTCAAAAGAGTGGTTTGTTGAACAAGTAATTACCTCAAGCCTTAATAAAATTGGAAATGGCAATTGCTTTACTTCTGCAACTACTCTAGACAATAACTCCTCTAACCTTTGCATTGTGCAGGATGTTAGGGATAGCAACAGTGCAATAGATTCTTGGAATTTTATGTTAGGGATAGCCACTAACACTTGAAGTTTTTTAATATATGGATGTCTGGTTTCGTTCTATAAAAAAGAAAAAAGGAAAAAAAAGAAAAGAAAGTCATTTATGTATTAAATTGTGCAAATAAATATTGTACTTTTATGAATTTATAATTATTTTTTCTACTTCTACTTCTCATTTTTATTTTATATTTCTCCTAACTTTAATTTTAATTATAATCGAATAGGTCATTGGTTATGTCCAAATCATATTTGGTTATAACATTTAATTATGACTATTTTTATGTTGGTTATCCGATGTTATAATTATTATTTTGGTTATAATTGAAAATGTCTTTATTATGTCTTGTGTTTGATTATTATTCATTGTTATTTTTTTTAGTTACATTTTAGGATGATTTAAATACTACAAATATCTTCACTTACATTAATACAATGATTTTGGAGTGTTTGATAACTTGGTTTAGCACTTAAAATTGAATATATTAAGTGATAATCAAATAAATCCGTTTAATAACCAAAATTGATATCATTTAAAAATTTAAGTGTCATAAAATTCAAGCTAAAAGTTAAAAAAAATTCAACTCATATAAAAATTATTTAATTGTGATTGAATTTATAAATACTAAACATAAGAATCGATATACCCAATTATAAACTCAGTACCATTGCCACTACCACTACCACCCCTACCATCACCACCACAGCCACTGCCACCATTATGCCACCGCCACCGCCACCGCCACTACAACTATCACCACCTTCATCGTCATTGTCATTATTGTTATAAGCACCATTATCATTTTACTACTAGCACCACTGTAGTTGCCATTGTATTACTACAACAAGAGAATGGCTTCCCTTCAGTCCCAGATTGGACTAGAGAGTACTGTTGGACTTGTGGAGCCCATCATGACATGTTTTGATAATCCGAACCGTTCAATATGTAGAACTCATTGAGTACTATATGCCTGTAAAAAATCACATTGATCGGATATTGATAGCTATTTCATCGGATCAGATTTCTTTCCACTGTTTATTTTTTCACCGTCTATTTTTTTTTAATGCAAAACTGATTTGATCACATAGCTATCGATATCCAATCAATGTGATTTTTTATAAACATATAGTACTCAACGAGTTCTACATATTAAACAGTTTAAATTATCGAAACAGAACTCCTAATAGGCCCCCATAAACCCAACAGTATACTCCAGTCTGATCTGGAACTAGAGAAAATCCATTCTCCTACAACAACCACTATAATCTTTTACCTATATAATCATTGCCATCATTGCCATCATTGTCATAACTAGTACAACAACCACTCTCATTACCCTTCCACCATTACAAACATCATTATCTGTCTATCTTTACCACCATTGACATCAGCGCCATAGCTAATGCCGGCGCCTCCACCACCACCAATTCACCACCACCAATTCACCATCACAATATAAAAATTGAAAGATACAATTTAAAAATAATAAATTTCAAATTTAATTTTATACATATCAAACAACTTGCCTTAATTATTCACCCCAAAAAAAAAACAACTTGCCTTAATTCAACACTTAAATTTTTATAATCAACTTTTCAATTTAAAAAATTCAGCGTTCAATTTTCGTTACTTAATTTTCAGTTTTCAAACTTTATCAAGCACCATCTATATATATATATATATTAGTGGGTTTGTGGTTAAATCTGTAAAATATAAAAGTGTATTGGTTGTGTGTCACTCAAATGATAAAATTATTATTTCGCAGATCAAAGGTCTTGAGTTTAAACTCCATTCACCCCATTTTGTGTTTTAAATAATTGTTATAGGGGAATTTTGGAAAAAAAAATCTAACATATAAGACATAGATGGGTAATGTTATGGTACATACCTCTCAAAAAGTATGTATTATATGCATCATTGTTAGTAATTTTTTTTAGTAGAGTTATGGTGTATTTTTTTATTTTATTTTATGGTGGAGTTATGGTTAAAAAATATTTGGATAAAAAAATTTATAATATTATCACAAAAAGAGTAATTTCATTTTTAAATTACAAATTGCCGTCTACCAAAAAATTAGGTTATATTTACTACAAAAATGCATAATAGAGTGCATATGATATACATGTTTGGATGGATAGATAAAAGGATTAATTACAAATATATCCCCTAAGGTTTACTTAAAATATAGATTGCTCCCTATAGTTTAGAAAATTACAAATACTCTTTATTAGATTTTTCATTTAAAAAAATCAACTGAAAAATTTAGATTCCTAATTGTTTTCTTATATAATAATAAAAGGATAAATTACATATATACCTCTTGAGATTTACTTAAAATACGATTTAGCTCATGTGGTTCTGGAAATTACATCTCGCACCTTAAAATTTCTAATTTCATCACAAATAACCCATTTTATTAATAAATCATGAAATTAAGTAATAGTTTTTGATGATGTTATAAATTTATTTCAATTAATAATTCAGATAATTTTATTATTGTATAAGAGAACAATTAAAAATTTTATTTTTCTCAATTAATTTTATTAAATAAAAAAATTATGACACATGGATATTTATAATTTTTCAAACCACATGAGATAATTTATATTTTAAGCAAACCTCAAAGACATGTATTTATAATTTACCCTTTTCGATCAATAATTCAGGTAATTTTCTTATGGGTAAATTACAAATACACCTCTTGAAGTTTGTTTAAAATATGGATTGCTTTCTATGGTTTGAAAAATAACAAATACCCCCTTATTAGAATTTTTTATTTAACAGAATTAATTGAAAAAATAAAATTCTTAATTGTTCTGCTATACAATGATAAAGTTACCTAAATGATTAATTGAAATAAATTTATAATATCATTAAAAGCTGTTAATTGACTTAATAATTTATTAATAAAATTGATCATTTTAATGATTTATTAAATTGTATTTTAAGCACTTATGAGTGAGACCCTTTTTTTTTTGGGATCTCCACATATCCCCAAAGTGATCCACACCACTTATGTATGTATGGGGCCCACATCATGAGTGGTGTGGATCACTTTAGGAGTTGTGAGGTTTCTAAAAAATGGGGATTTCTATCATTGTTGTATTAAAATTATATTTATCGTTTATTTTTTAAAAATAAGTCTGATTCAAACATATAATTACCGATATTCAATTATCTTCGTTTTTTACATAAATATTTTACTCAACGAATTCTAAAATATAAATAGTTAGAATCACCAAAATCAACCATAAAATAAACTTACCAAGTTTAAACTCTCTTCCAAATTGATACGACAATTTAAAACAACCAAATCCACAAAAGCCAACTTTTTTATTTTTAACATTTTTTAAGTCACATTATTATTTTTTTAAAAAAAAAATAAATTAACTTTTACCTTATTTTTCAAAATAATTTGGCGAAGGCCACTAAGTCTACCGCCGCCTTTGTCTAGAGTGGATGTACAATAGCATATTAGAAAAACATAGCATATTAGAATGAGGCATTTAGATTGAAAGAGTTGCGTATGCGATGACCTCAGAAGAGATAAATGCCAGCTTCGCCATGTCCGACCACTGCCGCCTCTGCCTTTATTATATTAAAAAAACATAGTCAAATTACCATCGCAGATAATTGAGGCTTTTCTCAAAATAGGGCAACCTATTAATTTATTTTTCAAACTAAGACCTCGTTTGGGGACTCTCTATTTTAGTTAAAAAGTCAAAAAGTTATTAAATTAGTCAAAAAGTCAACAACCCATATTAAAAAGTCAAAGATTATCTTTTCTCTCTACTTTTTACACATCTTTTCGTAAAAAGTCAAAAAGTTATCCCAAATATACTAGTTTTTTTTAGCTCATATTTTAGCCAAATAACTAAAAAGTTACTAAATTAGCCTGTTCCCAAACGAGGCCTAAGTTTAGTTTGGTTCAAATTCTCAGAATAAGTTAAAGCGTGTTTACAAAACATATTTTCAACATGTTTCTGGCTTACGCACACAAAATGAATAAAATTACAAAAACGTGGTTACAAAACACGTTTTTAATTAAGAAAATGTTGTTCCTATTAGCGTTTTCATCTTTAGTGAAAGCGTGTTTCCAAATTGCGCTTTCAATAGAAAGCGTGGTTTTCTAACCACGCTTTTAAAGAAAACTTGTTGTTGAAAGAAAACGTAGTTCGTAACCACACTTTTAAAAGTACCTAAAATTAGTAAAAAATTGTTTATTATTATTATTATTATTATTATTATTATTATTTTGATTGATTTTTCTTCAATCCACATTTTATAATTCACTCAATCATCTTTTAGATCTCTATATATAAATTATTCATATAAAATATCGTATTGATAAACAATCTTAGCTACCAAATTTTATTATTTTAATATTTAAAAATAAATTATGTAATTTTGAAATTATATTTCTCATCCAGTATTTTTAAAAAAATGATAAAATTATATATACGATTATCAGATCAATTTGATATTTACGTAAATAATTTATACATAATTTTTTTAAAAAATAAACAGCATGAATTATCTAAAGAGTAGTGATTAAGAGCTTTAAAATTAGAGTTCTGATTTAAGCTACAACGACGCGGCATAAAAAAATAAAAAGAAAACCACAAACAAGCAAGCATAAACATCATATCAAAGATTT